CATTATAATTTTTATTGTATCATTTCCAATATTTAGCGGCACATTTTAAGAATTTGGCGGCGCACAAAAGTGCCGCGGCACAGTGGTTGAGAATCACTGGTTTAATGAATAATACTAGGGAACTAATGTTTTGCTGCATTTTTATAAGTACTTGATTTTACCTGATTCAGATGAGGTAATTTCGAATCTGATAGTAATTTTGTTCAGAAAGCAATAGATTTTCTTTTCAAAATAATACTTTTAGCTTAGTTTATTTTTCGTCTGAATGCACAAGTTTGTAATAAAACGTATAGATTTACATATATACCTATACTCTTAGGTGCTCCTTTGAAAATAGCACTTAAGATTGAAAAATAACCTTAAATCTCATCATAAGCTGAAATGTATTATCACCTTCCTACCATTCTCGACGTAACAAAAAAGTGGAAACACTTAATATTCATTCGAGTGAATTTTAAAACTCCCAGTTTTATCAGAGAATTGCATAAAAACTGCCGCTTGTAGAGAAAATCTCATGCAACTGAAAACACAAAAAAAATTGTTTCCCAGTGCAATTATTAAATTATTGTAAAAATAATAAAGGAACAAACTTTATAAAATTTTGACTCAAATGTTTTGTTTGTTTTTTTGCATTTTCTTAAACTAAATTAAGAAAATTTACTAAAATTTGACTAGTCATTGTCAGTGTAAGTCACTGTAAGAAGTTATATTATCAGTGCCACTTAAATTTTTGATTAAAATAATAGAAATGTCAAATAAGTTTTTATTTTCTAAAATAATCAAAATGTAATGATGGAATCACTGCATTTAACAAACTTCTCCTTTTCTTTTCTGGCATGTTAAGCTCAGAATTATGATGGTAATTTAACCAATTTAGCACGGAAAGATCAAAATTCAAAAAAAGAATTTCTCATTTTTTATATTGTATTCCGACAATGCATGAGACTTCTACTTTACAGATTCTATTACAAATGTTTACCATAATTGACATTTAAAAAGAATTAAGTGACAAAACAAAATTTTACAGGAGAAGGAAGAACTATTGTTGAAAAGGCTGCCAATTTTTGCTTGCACTCCGAAACTAAACGAAACATTCCACACTGTAAATAATTCCGTATCAAATTACAGTATGATGTACCGGTACTCAGGGTGCCGAAACATCTTAAAAAAATTTTATAATTTTTTTTCAGTAATAATCACTATAAAATCACTAAATCACTCTCATTAAATGCATATTATATTTAAAAAATACTGTGTAGTATTTTACTTTAAAATGGGATTTTACGAATGAGGCACCCAAATTGTCTGTTCCTTATACCGAAATTTGATCCAGAATTTTGTACAGTGTACGCATTTTACTTTCTTTTCAACTCCTTAACACGTTGAATGCCATGGGGGTCACCGGTGACCGGCAAAGCCAAGATTATTAGAAACGCATAATTCAAGTAAATTTTTAATATTTTTATATTATTATCGTTACTAAAATGGTTTGAAGAAATTAATGCAATATAGAACACACAAAAATAGTTTTATTTATATACACAGAGATGCCAACTTGCTCCGGACAGCGAATAAATATTTTCAAGTGGTATTTTATTAATTGTGATTCTTGGTTTAATAAATTCAACTTAGTAAATTTTTATCCACCACTGTTTCTAAACAATTCGTAGGCTTATATAATTCTCCACTTTTTTCAGATAGGTATGCTGAACCTTTTAAAAAACTAGCAAAATCTGTCAAATTTGCAAATTTAGTTTGTAATTATTTACCGCTGTGACCAGACGAGCAGGCCATGTAAAATTAGGGTGGCATTCAACGTGTTAACAGTCTTTTTCAACAGTGATTTTATCATAAATCTGTTTTAATACAAAAAAAGGAATATTTTGTTACGTAACTCCTTTTTAATAACTCCTCAATTTTCCAATATTTTTTTCAACATGTTCAATAAATAGTAAATAAAATGGAAATATGCGCATCAAATATTTACCTGCCCAATTGTCTGATGTTTTACCATATCCACCACCTCCACGATTTCCAAACCTGTAATGAAATAAAGTAAATTTTTATATCATCCCTTGCACGACAACTGAGAACATTCCAAGAATTCCCCCGAGTCAGTTGAATAATTTCAGCTAAAAGGTGTTGCCTTTAAAACTATTGATTCCACTTTAACGTCTAAGATTTTAGGAATGCGCACTCGAATCTCCTGATACGTTCGACTACACCAAAGTTTAAAAGAATAATCTTGTCAAACTTTCACTAAGTCTTTTACTCCAGGCGAATAACTTAAAAGCACAACTTAAAGAGCGTTCATATATTCATCTCCTGTAAATTCCATGGCAACCAAAAGTGGATATACCATCCAGGAGTCACTCATATCGTAATTTGCACATTTTATAAGAGTTTCAATTATAATGCATAATTTTATAATGTTAACAAAAGACTTTTGTTATTTAGTACTGTCATAAATTACTTTGCAAATGAATACAGTAAAATAATCTCTATATCTTTCACTCCAGAGGAATAGCGCTAACTTTCTGTAAGCGTCATGGTAACCAGAAGTCATTAAAGTTATCACGTATGTTGTATTTTACGCATTGGAGTAGTTCAATTATTATGCACAATTTTATAATGCTGACAAAAGACATCTTTTATTTAGTACTGTCATAAATTACTTTGAAAATAAATACAGTAAAATAATCTCTATATCTTTCACTCCAGAAGAATAGCGCTAACTTTCTGTAAGCGTCATGGTAACCAAAAGTCATTAAAGTTATCACGTATGTTGTATTTTACGCATTGGAGTAGTTCAATTATTATGCACAATTTTATAATGCTGACAAAAGACATCTTTTATTTAGTACTGTCATAAATTACTTTGAAAATAAATACAGTAAAATAATCTCTATATCTTTCACTCCAGAAGAATAGCGCTAACTTTCTGTAAGCGTCATGGTAACCAAAAGTCATTAAAGTTGTCACTGACGTTGTATTTTACACATGTTACTGGATTGGATTGTTTAAATTATTATGCGCAATTCTATAATGCTGACAAAAGACTTTCGTTACATAGTACTGCCATAAATTATTTTGCCAATAAATACAATAAAATAATCTCTAAAACTGTCACTCCAGAAGAATAGCGTAAATTTACTGTAAATGTTATGGTTACCAAAAGTCATAAAAGTTATCACTGATGTTGTATTTTATGCATGTTATTGGAGTAGTTAAATTATTATGCACAATTTTATAATGCTGGCAAAATACATATTTTATTTAGTACTGTCATAAATTACTTTGCAAATAAATACAGTAAAACAATACAGTACAATCTCTAAATCATTCACTCCAGAAGAATAGCGTAAACTTCCTGTAAATGTTATGATTACCAAAAGTCATTAAACTTACCACTAAAGTTGTATTTAACGCATGTTATTGGAGTGTTTAATTATTATACATAATTTAATAATGCTGACAAAAGACATCTTTTATTTAGTATTGTCATAACTTACTTTGCCAATAAATACAATAAAATAATCTCTAAAACTGTCACTCCAGAAAAATACCGTAAACTTCCTGTAAATATGGTTAGCAAAAGTCATTAAACTTGCTACTGACGTTGTATTTAACGCATGTTATTGGATTGTTTAAATTATTATGCACGATTTTATAATGTTTACAAAAGTCTTTCGTTACATAGTACTGCCCTAAACTATTTTGCCGATAAATACAGTAAAATAATCTCTAAAATTGTCACTCCAGAAAAATACCGTAAACTTTCTGTAAGCGTCATGGTAACCGAAAGTCATTAAAGTTGTCACTGATGTTGTATTTTACGTATATTATTGGAGTGTTTTAATTATTATACCCAATTTTATAATACTAACATAAGACTTTTGTTAGTACTGCCCTAAATTATTTTGCAAATAAATACAATAAATAACCTAAAACTTTCACTCCAAAAGAACACCGTAAACTTTCTGTAAATGTTATGGTTACCAAAATTCTTTAAACTTGTCGCTGATGTTGTATTTTACAGAAGTCATTGGAGTGCTTAACTTATTATAGGCTTTTATTATGCTGATGAAAGACTTTTGCTATTTAGTACTGCCAACACTAAATTATTTTGCAAATGAATATTAAAAAATAATCTCTAAATCTTTTATTCCGGAAGAATAACGTACATTTCCAGTAACTGCCCTGGTCGCCAAAAATCATTAAAGCTGTTGCTGATGCTGTATTTTATGAACCTCATTTGCATGTTTAATTTATTTTATCTAATTTTATAATTCTTTTTATTTTTGTTATTTAACACTTCTTGATAGTCCATTTCATTCGTAATTATATTGCAAGCATGTATAAAAAAAATTGCCTCGTAGATTAAAATTAGAATAGGTAGATACCTAAAAACTTACACTTGAACCTTAAATAGAACTACTAATTAATTTGAAACAGAATTTTCTAATTTTTTTAATTGACTACATTCATTAATCATAATGAAATTCATAGAAAAATTAATTATCTTTTATTTTTAATTTTTAGCGAAGTAATTCTGTTTTTCGTTCTGAAAAATCACGAAACATGATTGAAATGGTTCCAAAAGTAACGTAAAGTGTAAAATTAGAAATTAATTTTTAAATTAAAATTATGAAATTTAGAAAAATTCCGAATTAGACCCAATTAATAAGCTGACGATATTATAAGATAATTTGAAATCAATTCTGATTTCAAACGCAAAATAATGTTTACCAAATAATTTCAACACTTCCTATAACATTCCACAATCTTTAATAAAGTTTGCGATTGTTACGTCTTTTTGCTTATTGTTGCTGTAATATTATTTCGGATTTCCTTTTAAGTTAAAGAATTATCAGCTCACAATTTCTGGGAATTATTCTGGTTTTTACGAATCTATCAGAAACATAAGTCACAAACAAGTATATCTTGTGATCAGTGGTAATTTTAATCAGCGTGCAGTTTTACAGCAGCATGATCTACAGATAAAAACCCCTGTTAGAATTACCATTCCAAAATTATGGTAAAATAACTGACAGCAGTCTGTTCATCTAATTAACCATAAATTTTACGGTTAGGGATATTTTTTTACCTTTACTTATTCATTACCTAAGACGTTTATTTACCTTACGGCTTTGAAACCGTTTTCAACTTGTATGATCAAAAAGCCATTAATGCAAAATTATACAGAGTTGTAACTAATTACAACTAGCATGGTTTCAAAACCATGAAAATGAAGTTTATTTGGACACTAGAGTTAATTTTTTGTTTGGTTTGGTTCCTTTCGTTTGGACTTTGGAGTTAGGCTGACATTGCTTTGTGTCGTATTGTGGAACGTGGCTTAGTTAGTTTGTTTGAAAGATCTATCTATCGTGAGAGATGGGATTTACTCAACTTCTTTTTGTGTAAAGAAAATGCAGTTATCTATGTGTGGATGAGAATTTCATATTCTAAAAGTCCAGAGACACCAATTGAGAAGTGCGGGACACTGGAAACTCTTCGTGGGCTGAAGGAGTAAGAGAAATTTTCTAGTGTCAACGCTAGGAATCGAAACCCCATTCAGACGGTCATCAGTTTAGCTCCAGTATGTACCTAACTACAAGGAACTAAGTAGCCTCAAAAGGTGGGCACAATTTCTGCGGATGCCGACCGGCCTGTGTAGGGGGCAGGGAACTGTCCTTGCATCAGAAAAGTCCTGGGTTCGAATCCCGGGCAAGGCAAGGATGTTTCTTTCTCTCTCTGTGTGTTCTATGTCCTTTATCCTATGTGTGTGAATGTGACCCGCCTTATAAACGGGTTGTGGTTGTGTGAATGGCGCGGTAGAAGTCGAATTCCTGGCCGTAGATGGCGCCACTGAAAAATAGGTACAATCGCACCCCCACTGCCTAAACAGGCATACGACAAAAAAAGAAATTGCTGCGGATGAAATTTTGGTTGCTTAACCATATTAGGGGAAAGCAGTCTATAAACAATTTTTCTCGTAGTTTGAATACCATCTTTTTTATGGTTATTTGACTATTTTTATTGAACATAGTTAAATAAAAATTAAATAATTTGTTATTTGACAATTTTTTTCAAAAATTTTTTAACACAGAAGACTTTTAAGATAAGTTTGCACTTCTCCATCATTTCCTTTTTATTAAGACAAATGATTAAGAAACACTATTGCAAATGCAAAAATTGTTTTACATAATGGAGAAGTCTGTTTAAATTGTTTAACATTGTCAAATTAAAATTCAGATAAAATTTAATTTTGTCATAATCGTTTTGAAATAATCCGACGATAAGCAAGCCTATAATTTGTCACTAATGAGTTATCCGTCTTTTCATAAAAATTCTAAAGGGAAATCTTATTCGTAATTCTTGACGTAAACTGTGAGAACGTGCAATGATTTTGAACTTGTTAAAATCTTTTCACACTCAAAAATGAGCTCCTAACAATATTTAATGATTTGCATGTAAATAACCAAGTTAATTAAATCTCTTCAGTTGATTCTTAAAAAGATAAAACACCATCAACTTAATGCAATATATTGACACCTAAGATGAGAACTCATTTTGTCTATACTTAGGTTTATCATTAATTAATTTTAAAAGATTTACCTCTTCATTTTTTAAATAGAATCTTTTTCAAGACTTCTTTTAATTATTCTAGTTTAAGAAGTAAAAAGTTTAAGCAAAAGGTATATTAAAATCATAACGATGATAAGAAATATTAATATCTCTCAGCCTGAAATATTAATATATTATTAATAATTATATTAGAAATATTAATGTGTCGTTGCATTGCATCTCAAACAAATATAGGATATGGGGCAAAAAAACAGACAAACAATACTTAATATAATGACAAATTATTGACATGACAAATGACACGAAAAAAAAAATTTTCTAAACAAACTCTTAAATAAATAACTTAACTTATAACTTTTCAAAATGATTTTAGCATGACAAAATATTTTTATATTCTTAAATTTTTTTCAAAATTGACATCAAATCATATGGAAATACGGTTCGAAATTCAT